GCTCCTTCTTTGGAAGCTTTTAAACAGAGGCTGGATGGCCATCTGTCAGGAGGTGATTTGAATGCAATATTCCTGCTTCTTGGCAGGGGGTTGGACTGGATGGCCCATGAGGTCTCTTCCAACTCTTTGATTCTATGATTCTATGATTCTATGATTCTTGCTCTGCATCTTCTTCCGCAGTGAGGGCATTGGTTTCCAGGTGGAAGGCGGTCCCGGTCGGGGTTGGCTTGACGCGCTTTCCTCCTGGCACGTTTCTCTTTCACCCTCCATTCGTGCCTATTCAAATTGCAGCACTGCTGGTCACAGCTGACCTCCAGCTGGAGCGCTCAAGGGCCAGGGCTTCCCAGTTCTCAGTGTCTATGCCAGAGTTTTTAAGGTTGGCTTTGAGCCTCATCTTTAAATCTCTTTTCCTGTCCACCAACGTTCCGTTTTCCGTTCTTAAGTTCGGAGTAGAGCAACTGCTTTGGGAGACGGTGGTCAGGCATCCGGACAACGTGGCCGGCCCAGCGGAGTTGATGTTGGAGGACCATCGCTTCAATGCTGGTGGTCTTTGCTTCTTCCAGCACACTGACGTTTGTCCGCTTGTCTTCCCAGGAGATTTGCAGGATTTTCCGGAGGCAGCGCTGATGGAAACGTTCCAGGAGCAGCATGTGACGTCTGTAGACAGTCCACGTCTCACAGGCATAGAGCAGGGTTGGGAGGACAATAGCTTTATAGACAAGCACCTTGGTCTCCCTACGGATGTCCCGGTCCTCAAACACTCTCTGCTTCATTCTGGAAAATGCTGCACTTGCAGAGCTCAGGCGGTGTTGTATTTCAGCGTCGATGTTGACTTTGGTGGAGAGGTGGCTGCCAAGGTAGCGGAAATGGTCAACATTTTCTAATGTTACACCATTAAGCTGTATCACTGGCATTGGAGAGGGATTGGCTGGTGACTGCTGGAACAGCACCTTGGTTTTCTCAATGTTCAGTGACAGGCCAAGCTTCTCGTATGCTTCTGCAAAGGTGTTTAGAGTGGCTTGTAGATCTTCTTCTGAATGCGCACAGACGACATTGTCATCAGCATACTGGAGTTCTATAACAGCTGTTGTTGTAACCTTGGTTTTGGCTTTCAGTCTGCTGAGGTTGAATAGTTTGCCATCTGTCCGATAGATTATTTCCACTCCGGTGGGAAGCTTCCCATCAACAAGGTGAAGTATCATAGCGATGAAGATGGAGAATAGAGTTGGGGCAATAACACATCCCTGTTTGACACCGGATTCCACTTTAAATGGGTCACTTTGGGAGCCATTGCTGTCCAAGACCGTTGCCATCATGTCATCATGGAGGAGCCGCAGGATGTTCACAAATTTGCTTGGGCACCCGATTTTTTGGAGGATGGTCCAGAGAGCGCTGCGATTCACTGTGTCGAATGCCTTTGCAAGGTCGATGAATGCCATGGACAGAGGTTGGTTTTGTTCCCTGCATTTTTCTTGGAGCTGTCGTGCAGTGAAGATCATGTCCACGGTTCCTCTGGAGGGGCGGAAGCCGTTCTGGGATTCTGGGAGGGTGTCTTCTGAGAGGGGCAGAAGGCGGTTTGCAAGGATTCTTGCGAGGATTTTCCCAGCGGAGGTTAGAAGGGAGATACCTCGATAGTTTCCGCAGTCTGTTCTTTCCCCTTTTTTGAAGAGGGTGATGATCTCAAAACTCCCTTCTTGAGTGGTAATGGCACGATCGTCAGCATAGATGAAACTCTCTGTCCCTTCTGGCAGTGGCTGGTCATTTGTGTACATGTTGAACATGGATGGAGCAAGCACCCTCCCCTGAGGCAGGCCGTTCTTCTGTTTCTGCCATCTGCTTCTTTGGCCCTGAAAGAAGTGACCAGAAGGGACTTGAAATATTTTACAACTTTGATAATGCATTCTTTCACAGTTTCTACATTACTGAATGGCTTCCTTCCTTCCCTCCCTCCCCACCCCGCAGTATGTAAGCTACTGATAAGTTGCTTCAGTGCCATTATTTCTGTATCTTATTGCTGCTTGAAAGAATTGTTTTTTTTACTTTTCATCTTTTAATTTCCGCAATGCAACCTTTTAAGCCTCTCCCTAATTTAAAATACCTGTGGTCCTTGTTAGTGTTATATCCTGATGAGCATTAAAAAAATAATGTTGAGATTTCAATATCACAAAGCAGACAAATCATCTTATCTTCAGCAGAAATAAGATAATATTATGATTCTCGGTTCTCATTTTAAAAAATCTGATTTCTTCCTTCAGTGTTCTCTTGGTCTTCGTTGACATGATAGGGTGTTAAGCAGACAAAAATTTAAAAATACTGTCAGGCTGCGCAACTATTCACAAATTCCACTTGAAACAAACACAATGCACTGTTGTCAAAAGTTTATAACAGACTGGCATACTTGACCGTCATGCTCTATCTGTTGAAACATATTTTATTTTTTAGTAATTTGAATACAATAATTTAAAAAATAAAATAAAAATATAAAAGATGAACCAAAATCTATATAAATGGAATGGAACAATGGATGACGAATCTGGATCATGTTTTTTAGTGAAGAGACGCTAGTGAATGGTTATTATAGTAATTGTATACTAACTATGTATTAGATTGGTTATTAACTGTTTTATATTGGTGTATTAAATTTTGCTGTGTCTTGTGTCCTGTGAACCTCTGTGAGTCGCCTCCGGGCCAAGAACAGCGGTATAGAAGTAAAGTAAAGTAACTAAATAAATAAATAAATAAAAATGTAATGTTCATTTGTGGGATTAACATAACTCAAAAACCACTTGATGAATTGTCGCCAAATTTGCCCACAAGACACCTACTCACCCAAGGAGTGACCATCACTCAAAAAAAATTGTTTTGTCATTTGGGAGCTGTAGTTGTGAACGAAATCACACCAAATTTGGCTACAAAACATCTCACAACACAAGGAGTGGCCGTCACTCAAAAATTATGATTTGTCATTTGAGAGTTGTAGTTACTGGGATTTATAGTTCACCTACAATCAAAGAGAATTCTGAACTCCACCAATGATGGAATTGTGAACTTGGCACACAGAACTCCCATGAACAACAGAAAACACTAGAAGGGTTTGGTGGGCATTGACCTTGAGTTTGGGACTTGTAGTTCATCTACACCCAGAGAGCACTGTGGCCTCAAACAATGATGGGCATGGACCAATGGTCTGGTTGCCCCTGACACGATAAATAAATAAAATGGACCAAACTTGGCACGAATATTCCATATGCCCAAATAAGAACACTGGTGGAGTTTGGGGGAAAAAAGACCTTGACAATTGGGAGTTGTAGTTACTGGGATTTATAGTTCACCTACAGTCAACCCATTCTGAACCTCATCAGGGGTAGAATTGGGGCAAACTTCCCACACAGAAGCCCTATGACCAACATAAAATACTGTGTTTCCTGGTGGTCTTTGACGACCCCTTTGACACCCCTCACAACTCCCCCCTGGGGTCCTGACCCCTAGATTGAGAAATGCTGCCTGAAGGCGATCCAGTCCATCTCCCTTCACCAGGGCAAGAAAACATTAAAGCCCTCCTGACAAAGAGCCATCCAGCCATATATATAGATAGACTAGCTGTCCCCTGACACGCGTTGCTGTGGCCCAGTCTGGTGATCTGGAAAATAAAGTAATGGTTTCTAATATATGTAATTCCTTTATGCTTGTGGGTAAACAGGATTTCTTGCTGTTTCTTTGTCAGTGTTGATGTGGAGAGTGTATGGTTTGCCTACTCTGGAATATGCAACATATCATTGTCCTTCTTTAGGGGTCCCTTTCAAATCTATGATACTATATCTGTGTGTGTGAATCGTATCTATCTATATATATGGCTGGATGGCTCTTTGTCAGGAGGGCTTTGATTACATTTTCTTGCCCTGGTGAAGGGAGTTGGACTGGGTGGCCTTAAGTATTTCTGTTGGTCATGGGGGTTCTGTGTGGGAAGTTGGCCCCATTTCTGTTGCTGGTGGGGTTCAGAATGCTCTTTGATTGTAGGTGAACTATAAATCCCAGCAACTACAACTCCCAAATGTCAAGGTCTATTTCCCCCAATACTCCATCTGTGTTCATATTTGGGCATATGGAATATTCATACCAAGTTTGGTTCAAATCCATCATTGTTTGAGTCCAAAGTGCTCTCTGGATGTAGGTGAACTACAACTCCCAGACTTAAGGGCAATGCCCACCAAATCCTTCTAGTGTTTTCTGTTGGTCATGGGAGTCCTGTGTGCCAAGTTTGGTTCAATTCCATCATTGATGGTGTTCAGAATGCTCTTTGATTGTAGGTGAACTATAAATCCCAGCAACTACAACTCCCAAATGACAAAATAAATTCTTTTTGAGTAAAGGACATAAATTGGGTTGTATCGTGCCCAAATTTGGTATCAATTCCTCCAGTGGTTTTTGAGTTCTGTGAATATCACAAACGAACATTACATTTTTATTTATATAGATATAGTATCATAGATTTGAAAGGGACCCCTAAAGAAGGACAATTATATGTTGCATGTTCCAGAGTGGGCAAACCAGGCAATCTCCACATCAACACTGACAAAGAAACAGCAAGAAATACTGTTTACCCACAAGCATAAAGAAATTACATATATTAGAAATCAAAACTTTCTCATTCCTTTATTTTCAAGATCACCAGACTGGGCCACAGCAACGTGTGGCAGGGGACGGCTAGTGTATTAGTAAAAAATAAAAGGATTTGTTCTGTAAAATTTGGATTCACTCAAAAAGACTTAGAAGGCCCCAAGGCTGTAGGCTCCCTACCCCTGGTCTAATTATTTTGAATGAAAGCAGAGCAATCCTTTATGTCTCTTTGGTCTTATTGCAGTTCTAGTTCTAATTACTCAAAATAGACAATAGCAAACCTGTTGGGAAGGATCTATCTCATTGTCCCCTACTGCCTGTCAAATGTAACCGGGATTGTTTTGAGTAGAAATACTTAACCTTATGTTTTCACTTACTTCTAGGTGCTGAATTCTGAATATTGAACAAAAGTGTCGTGCTTGGATTAGCCCAGTCGGTTCCCTCCCTTTTGCATTAAAGTGACTGTCTCCTGGAGGATTATTGGCAGAGAGAAATCTTTTGGAAACATTCCCTCCTGAACCGCCTTGAAGTTTTATCCACAGTCATGTGGTCACTACAGCTGCTGTTCTTCACAGTGTTCTTGGCATCCGCTGTCCATTGTAAGTGTATAAATTGATTTTCCTATTTAGTTTTTGTTGACTGCGACTTTGAAACATATGGAATGGATTAGGTGTCTGGAGCTCTAAAATGAGAAATGTTTGGTTTCAGGCAAACTGTGCTTTGTTTTGAACAATGCTTTGACAAATACAGAGTGCCATCGCTCTGTTTGTGACTGGCAAGTGTTCCAAAGAAATTGAACAGTGGGTACATATAGGCAATGTGTCCCCGAGGCTCCTCCCATGGGGTTTATTTTTTGGGAGGAAGGGAAGCTTTGTTTTTGTTGTTGGTCTTGTTGCTGTTTTCTGTGACAGAATTTTCTTTACAAAAATTGTTCAGAAGAGATTTTGCCCTCTTCTGAAGCTGAGAGAGTGTGATTTATTTGGAAAAATTAAAACTAGATCTGATTTGTATTCAAGAAATTAATGTAGGAAAAGAATAATTAATAATAATAATAAACCTTTATTTGTACCCCGCTACCATCTCCCGAAGGACTCGGTGCGGCTTACAAGAGGCCGAGCCCAAAGTACATCATCAACAAAAACACAACAGACAACAATACAATGCAACAATACATAAGCAAACAATAAAACAGTAACAAAAGCACAACACTGTTAAAAACCTGTGGCAGGGCCAAATGTAATAGTTAAAATTCTAAAAATGCTGGGCATGTCCAGGTGAGGTAGACTGGATATTTTGGGAATAGAAGGGTGTGCAGACAATTCTAACTCTCTCATAAAGTGCATTAGGGACAATTGCTTGGGATTCCTTAATCTGGTAAGGCACACTGGAACATCCATGTTTTCAAGCTCCTTCTGAAGACTGCCAATGTTGGGGAATGCCTGATGTCCTTGGGGAGGGAGTTCCAGAGTCGTGGGGCCACCACCGAGAAGGCCCTGTCCCTTGTCCCCACCAATCGCGTTTGCGATGCTGGTGGGATCGTGAGCAGGGCCTCACCAAATGAACGAAGGGATTGTGTGGGTTCGTATACGGAAATGCGGTCACGCAGGTAGGTGGGTCCCAAACCGTTTAGGGCTTTGTAGGTAAGCACCTGCATCTTGAATTGAGCCTGGAAAATGAACGGCAGCCAATGGAGCTCCTTGAACAGGAGGGTTGACCTCTCTCTGTAAGGAGCACCAGTTAACAGCCTGGCCGCCGCCCGTTGAAACAACTGAAATTTCCGGGCCGTCTTCAAGGGCAGCCCCACGTAGAGCGCATTACAATAGTCCAATCTGGAGGTGACTAAGGCATGGACCACCCTGGCCAGATCCGCCTTCATGAGGTATGGTTGCAGTTGGCGCATGAGTCTCAGTTGTGCAAAGGCCCTCCCAGCCACCGCCGACGCCTAAGCTTCAAGCGTAAGTGATGAGTCCAGAAGGACACCCAAACTGCGGACCTGTGACTTCAGGGGAGTGCAACCCCGTCCAGCACAGGTTGCCACGCTATACCTCGATCTGAAAAAAGATGAAAAGCTACTGTTAAATTCAAAATTAGGTAGACCATTTGTTTCTTTGAAAGAGAAAAATAAAAGAGGCTATTATACATGTAGGCTTAGAAGATTTTGGTTGGTGATAAAAAAATCAAGGTTTATCATTATGTCACTGCCAGCAAGTAGGTCCCACCCAGTGGCCATATAGAATATCTGTTTACATGACTCAGCATTTCATATGACATCATCAGAAATGTGTCAAGCTATTGTCAAAGGCTTTCAAGGCTGGAATCAATGGGTTGTTGTAGGTTTTTCGGTCTATATGGCCATGTTCTAGAAGCATTCTCTCCTGACATTTCGCCTGCATCTATGGCAAGCATCCTCAGAGGTTGTGAGGTCTGCGACTTTGAAACATATGGAATGTATTAGGTGTCTGGACCTCACAACCTCTAAGGATGCTTGCCATAGATGCAGGCGAAATGTCAGGAGAGAATGCTTCTAGAACATGGCCATATAGCCCAAAAAACCTACAACAACCCAATGTGACAAGCTTTCCGGAGACAGTATAGACAGTGGCAGTATAGACAGTGGACTGTGCCAGATCCAGTTATCTACACCTCCAAAACTGCAGGATTACTCTGAAATGTACGGGAAGCTCCAGAGTAAATCCTGTGTTTCATTTTTGTGGAGTGAAGGGTAGATGCAGTGGTTATACTGCAAATCCAGCCCCTCAAACTGTTGGAGGGCCGTATTATAATTGGAAAAAAAACATAAATGAATTCCAATCCATACTGCACATATCTTATTTGTAGTGCAAAACACACTTAAAAGCAATACAATAATTAAAATGAAGAACAGTTTTAACAAATATAAGCTTATTATTATTTCAATGGGAAGTGTGGGCCTGCTTTTGGCTGATGAGATAGCGTTGTTGTTGTTGTTGTTGTGTGCTTTCAAGTCGTTTCAGACTTAGGTTGACACTGAGTGAGGGCCAGGTTAATGACCTTGAAGGGCTGTATCCGGCCCCAGGGCCTTAGTTTGAGGACCCCTGGTCTAAACAGAGACTTTAACTTTGTTATAGGTTGATGGGGGTGAACATGAATGTTTTAACAATTTTGATATGCGATATTCCATTAAAGCAATGGCAGAATGATATTTCTCTATTTATTTGGCAAGGCAAGAAACTGAGAGTTTCAAATCAAAGATGTAATAGAAAAAGTAGTTTGGTCCTGCCAGAGTTGAAATTATACTTTCATGCTTGCTATTTAATAATAATAATAAACTTTATTTGTATCCCGCCACTATCTCCCCAATGGGGATTCGGAGCGGCTTACATGGTGCCAAGCCCGGACAACATATTAGAGCAATAAAATCAATACATAAAAAAACAAATAACAACAACATCATCGAAGTAAATTAATAATAGTAAGAGAAAAAAGCAGTCTTAAAATAATATTCTAATAAACACAATCACAATAGCAATAACAACAACAATGGGCGGGCCACATGTACAGGATAAAATAATTTAAAAACTGTGATGAGATAAAAAAAAGGAGCAAGACGTTTACGGGGATTTATGAGGTTGAACTTCCCATTTGGGAGGGCGCGAACTCCAGTAACAGAAAAGCGTTGAGGGATGCAAGATGTCATGGTGTGCACCTACTCACCAAAGGTGCAGCAGAAGAGCCAGGTTTTAAGGTTCTTTTTAAATGTTTCTAGTGAAGGGACTTTCCTGATCTCTCCAGGTAAAGAGTTCTATTTCATATAGTTAAAAGAATACTTCACACTGAAAAACAAAAGCTTGTTACAATTAGAAGGTACTGATTTAATGTTTGAACGACTTTTTTATAGTATGAGATAATTAAAGTGAATACAGATTATAATAATTATGTGAGAGGATGACTGTTGAAAATATGGAATAGATACAAAGCGAGATTTCATTTTGGAATACCCTTTGGAATTCACCACATGAAGTATTAGACAGAACAGAACCTCGTATAACAAATGATAAACGGTTAACTTATATAAACATCTGCTTGTACTTAAGAAAGGGAGTGAAAGAATTAAACCTAATGAATTAGAAGCTGAAAGGCATAACTTTCAATGGCATCTTTAGAGATAATTTAATGAAAGATTTAAGATGGATAAAAATTATTGGTTTGAAATAACTAAATCCAACTTCGATCTAATGATGATAATTTGATTGCTAGTATGTATACATTGCTAAAAATGAAAATGCCAAGTGGTCTAAACTTTCCCGCCATCATGTTCTCCAATTTTGTTCACATTTTAGCTGTAGCACCGGTCGAGCTTTATACTAAGTTTACCAAAATTTGAGATGTTTAACTGCAATAGTTGCTAATCTAGACCCCCTTATCTGAAGGGTAGCCAAATCAGCGTGCACATGACATTTTAGAAAATGAATTTTTTGTGGTCTAATAAAATTGAAACTAAATGTATATGAATGGCAGGTTAATTGAAATCCTGTACATTTTTTCCGCTGATTCCGATGAATTTAATTTTAACATTATGGATGCAAAATCCAATCAAACAAGTTGACTCAAAGTGTGCATCAAATGTGTCGTGACAGATTTTGACCAATATTCAGACTGCAACAATCTCCATGCAAATGAAGATATGGACTTGAATCTTTGACCAAGCATTATCCTTGTGCTGGACATAATACTGCCAAATTTGCAACTACCCAGCATCTATAACCACCCTACAGGATCTCTTTAAATTTGACACTTTCAGCGCAAATGGTAAAGTTCAAAGCCAGTTATTAAAAAAGAGTCTACCCGAATATGCTTGTGAATAGTATCATTTGAAAAAGAAAAAAATTCTCTATGAAAATGATATGTTTTTGTTTTTGCAGTGCGTCCATTAAGTATCAATTTTATCAGGTAAAAGTATGTTATCACATTGAAAACAGCATCCCCATTGCCATAGAGGCCATGCCCGTAAGCCATTCAATAACTAGTAGGACCATGTGGATGCCTAAAGCATAAATGCACAAAATATAATATACTTTTGTTAAATGTCATGCACATGCAGACTGACTACCCTTCAGATAAGGGGGTCTAGATTGCAGTTAGAGATCTCAAATTTTGGGAAACTTGGTTTAACATCTGTCTGTTGTTACAGCTAAAATTTGAATAAAATTGAAGAACATGATGGTGGGAACTTTTTAAAATTATACACCTCTTGGCATGGAATGACCCACAGGTCAAATAATTATGATTACAAAACATTGGTAGATGTTGCATTTGGATCAATGGATAAAGTTGTAGATGAAAAAATTAAAATTTCTTTGAGTTATAATTTGAAAATAAGCCATCGTGTGTCTTCTTGAGGAAAAAGAAATGTAAGACAGTGTCTTATTTTCAGGGAAACACGGTAACTGTTGGAGACATGATCAAAACAAATATTATAACATATTATAACATATGGTGGACATGTGTAAAAAGGCAAAGAAATGTGGGCCTGATAGAGATGCACTAGAGATGTTTTATAATTGTTTTAGTAATCTGTTTAGTTAAAATATGATTATCTGGAGCCCCCGGTGACCCAGTG